GACTAGGAGAAAAAAGAAATGATCCCCCAAATGGTCAGTTTGATGTAGTGGTTAAGGCATCAGGCTAGGAATCAGGAGACCCTGAGTTCTAGTCCCACCTTAGCCAGGAAAGCCAGCTGGGTGACTTTGGGCTAATCATCAGGAGACTGTGAGTTCTAGTCCCGCCTTAGCCAGGAAAGCCGGCTGGGTGACCATGCTTAGCTTTTTGGGAATTAGCCCTGATTGATTAAATTGGGGGTCCCTAAACATGCTTAGCTTTTTGGGAATTAGCCCTGATTGATTAAATTGGGGGTCCCTAACTTAATAGATACTATTTTGATTAATGAATATTAATACTCTTGGATGAGGTCAATATTGACCCCCTGAACTATATCCTGTTTTTTTTATGTAAACTGCCCTAGGAAAGACTAATCAAAACTCTACAAACATAGTACCAGGTGATTGAAATCTAGAAAAAAGGGGGAAATTGGACATTTTTTTTCTCCTTGGGTCTTCCAGTTTTTGGACAGTGTCCTAATGTTTTTCATTTCTGCCTGCAATTGCTGGCCGATCCACTGGAGTTAAATTGAATTAAGGGAAGTTGGGTTGGCTTGGCTTGGGTTGAGTTGGGTTGGCAATCCATAGGGAATTCATCCAATCACTGATTTAATATCTGATCTTGGTGGTTTCTTGCTGTTGCCATCAAATTACTTTGGGACTGATGTGTGCAAGAGAGACGAGAGATTAAGAAGACATTGTGGGCGTTGGTGCTCTGGCCTACCTCTTTGTGCGTGTTGGCTTCTCTTCTAGGGCTAATTACTGTTCTTGTTCCTGTTGCCACGGTGCACCCAACACAAAAGGTGGCGTTACGTTGAACAGCACATAGATTACAACTAGTTGTCCTAGATCCTTACAGAAAGATCAGGGTGTCAGGAGGGCCCAATCCATGCAGACCTATCCAGCCCATTGAGTGCAAATTCAGAGGATACTCTTTTGGATCACCAAAAGATAAGCCACCTGCCACAAAGGGAAGCTGCGTCTGTCAAAAAAAAGCTGTGGAAGAACGAAGAGTTTGATGTTTAATGTCTTCCTGGACAGCATGTCTTGGCTCGCCCCGCTGGCCTGAGCTTGTTCTCCCTGGGGAGAAGAGTCACACCCCCTCCCCAATTATTCCTTTCACACACACACACACACAGCATCTGCATACAAATAGGGCTTTCACACACTCGTGCCACTTGAGGCTGTTGGAGGAAACCAGAATTCGTCTTGACGGTCCCATCAGGACATCCTGCCTCCTTGTTCCTCCTCCTCCCCCTGCTCTCCCCAGCACACACACACACACCCTCCCCAGACGCCCACGCCAAGCGAACCCCATCCCGCCCCCATAACAAATTAGAAATGTGAGAAGTCTCCTTGTTGATCAAAACATAAATTATTCCTCGCAGACAGGGCACCATCGAGCTCCGGAGAGGGTAATTGGTGCCACCTCCCATTCCTTAAAAGGTGAATATCGTAATTGGAAAAGAGGTGTGAGAGGCTTGCTCCGGCTCGGAGGGGGTGGGCATGAAAGCGTTCATTTTCGCAGCTTGGGAGATGTCTATGGCCGTGTTACGGATTCTAATTATCAACACAGCGGGGAAGGGGGTGGGCGGTCTTCTTCGTCCCAGGTCTGGGAGTCCTTAGTTACCCCATTGTTCTCTCTGACGTGTGGCTCAGCTGCTGAAGGGGGGGGGGAAGCCTGTTGGAATTCTTGATTTGGGGTGGCTGGGGGCTTGGTGCCACCATTCGTATTCATCCCCCAGCTGAGATATTTTAAAATTATTACGTATTGATCCTAAGAAGTGTCCAGCTGCCTCACGGAAGGAGTCTGGGTGGCGTACGATAAAATCTCCTAAAGGCATAAAAAACCTTTCAGGTGGTCCTTATGACCAAGATTGGGCCCAAAATTAATGAGCCCACAGCATAGTCCATCTCCTCCTCCTCCTCCTTCTCCTCCTCCACTCCACAAACCCCACTCCCTTCTTCCACTGCAGATGTTACCTAGTTTGGTAATGAAATGTCTGCAAGAAAACCCACCCAGCTCAGAGACCACCAAGGACCCCATCACAAAAGTTTACAAGATCAGTCAGGGAATTGCTAAGAGCCGCCAAGAAGAATTTGGGAGCAGGATATTAAAAGTGTAGGCAGGCAGAGGGCCAGGAAAGAAAACAGAAGAGAAGGGTGTTTGAACTGGACACCTGCCAGATTCCATTGTTTGACAGAGGGATAAAGGTTACGCGGGTTTGAGTGTCAGTGGTTTTGCATCGCATCCGGTTTAGTTCCAAAACGTGTACGAGTGGCTTGTGCTAATGGCCCCGTTTAGGGAGCAGAACATCCAGGTGTTAATATCACGATGGCAGTTCTCCTTTGGGAGATGCCCCCGAACAAGACACGATGGATGGAAACTGATCCGAGAGAGAACCAACCTAGAGATAAGGAAAAATTCCCTGATCGGGAGAACAACTCCTCAGTGGAACGACTTGCCTCTGGAAAGGATGGGTGCTTCATCGCTTTTAAGAAGAGGCTGGACAACCATTGTTCTGAAATGAGGAGGGGGTTGGACTAAAAGACCTCCCGGCTCCCTCCCAACTCTTCTATTCTGAAATGCACAGATTCCCATCAGCCTGGGTGAGCCTGAGAGTTGTGTGTCTACACACCTGAGCTCTGTTGCATCTGGAGGGTACCCTGGATGCTAATCGAATGTCAAAAGGACAAGATGGAAAGCACGGGGCAAAGGATCCCAGGCTCCTAGCTGGGAGCGGGATGGGTTTTGAGTGAACAAGCAAACCCACTGCAAGGGGTTTTTTTTTGTGTGTGTGTGTGTGTGTGTGTGTCCCCTTTTCCTTCCCTTTGTGCGAGATTCCAGCTGGTTTCAGCTGATCTTTCAAGACGGACAACGTTGGCTCCTGGGCTTTACTTTGTTTTGTGTTTGTGTGTGCCTGTGTGTCTGGTGATGCCGTCTCGGGGAAAGGCGAACGGAGGCCACAAGGAGGGGGCGAGGGAGGGGACCCCAAGGAGAGAGGCGTGTGGATTCATGTAGAGGCTTCATCATGTTCCACTTATCCGGCGCACCGCCCCGGCGAAATTCAGCAGATGGATGCTTGGTCATGCCGGCAGCGCAGAAGGGTTAACTCCTCGGATTTAGCTTCTATCATTTCACGAGAGCGTTGACAACACTTTACCATGTTTATTCCCAGATGTGCGTGCTCTGGCCCGGCGGCTTCCCCGAGCCCTGTGCTTTTGCTGGGGTGGGGGGGTGGGGTAGGGAGAGTGTTGGATAAAATAGTGCACCTTTCCGATCGGAGTGCGCATCAAATATTCATGGTCTCCGATTTGCACATTGGGGTTGATAAATGGATCTGACGTGGACTTTGGGCGGGTGGGAGAAACAGCTGCTTCTCTGGGGAATCGGCAGAGGAATTGGGTCAGTTTCCCCTTCTTACAGCTATAGAATGGAATGAGAATAGAATTTAGAACAGAACAGAACAGAATAGAATAGAATAGAATATGGAATGGAAATAGAAGAGAAGAGAATAAGAGCACAATAGAATAGAATAAGAAATAGAATAGAATAGAATAGAATAGAATAGAATAGAATAGAATAGAATAGAATAGAATAGAATAGAATAGGGAATAAAATAGAATGAGAATAGAATATGGAATGGAAATAGAAGAGAAGAGAAGAGAATAAGAGCACAACAGAATAGAATAAGAAATAGAATAGAATAGAATTAGGAATAGAATACGAATAAGAATAGAATAAAAATAGGAATAGAACAGAATCAAAATAGGAATAGAATAGAATAAGAAATAGAATAGAATAGAATAGAATAGAATAGAATAGAATAGAATAGAATAAGAAATAGAATAGAATAGAAAGTGTGGAATGGAACGGAACAGAACAGAACCCTGAGGGCCAGGGTGATTAAGGAAATCCCTATGGTCATTAAGCGAATCTTGGCTTCCCCCATTGACTTGGTTTGTCGGAAGCCAGGTGGGAAGGTCACCCCGTGGGCATGTGCCAGTTGCCAAGTGCCAAGTCAATTTCAATCACGTGACCCCGGGGATGCTGTGACGGGCGTAAGTGTGAGAACTGGTTGTAAAGTCGCCTTGTGGTGACTTTGAACGGCCACTAAATGGATCGTCGTAAGCCGGGGTCTACAGTAGATGAGCGCCTTTTTTCTCAAACAAAAAAAAGGGGAGGGAAATGCCACAGTGTTGACTTGGCAAGTTCCAGACAAGCCCTTTGCTCCCGTCTCCCTGGAATGTAATGGCACAGCGAGAGCACGTTTCCTTCCTTTCTGGTTCAGTGTGTTGTGCAAACGTAGAAAAAGCAGCTAATTCAGAGATCGGGTCAAGCATGTGTTGCAAACGCGGGATTTGTCACGGGTTCCTTCTGCGGGACGGGGGGCTAAAGCATGTGAAGAATTGCTGCAGGGATTGGGTTTGTCTGGTCTAGTGAAAAGAAGGACTAGGGGGTGACACGACAGCAGTCTTCCATTATTATTATTATTATTATTATTATTATTATTATTATTATTATTATTATTATTATTATTATTATTCACACAGTCAGCCAGATGTTCAGACTGGATCTGGCATTTTTGTCTACCTATCGAGTCCTTCCCAAGGACCTGGGATAGGCAGATCTGGATATTATTATTATTATTATTATTATTATTATTATTATTATTATTATTGATCATCACACAGTCAGCCAGATGTTCAGACTGGATCTGGCATTTTTGCCTACCTATTGGCTGAGGAATTCTGGGAGTTGAAGTCCACAAGTCATAAAAGGGCCAAGTTTGAAGACCCCTGGCCTACAGTCTCTTGCCTGAGCAGGAGGTTGGACTAGAAGACCTCCAGTTTGGTTATTCTGTTAGTTTCTGTGAGAAAACGCCCCAAACCTTTGGACTTTTCCTTTGAAAATTCATCCCTTTTTTCTTCTCCTCCTCCTCCTCCTCCTCCTCCTGCCTCAGCACCTTTGGAGAGCTGAAGACGGTCCGCATGCCGAAGAAAATGTTCGGAACGGGGAAGCATCGCGGCTTTGGGTTTGTGGATTTCCTGACGAAGCAGGATGCCAAGGTGAGCAGACTCCTCCCTTTTTCATGCCTGGCTGAGGAATTCTGGGAGTTGAAGTCCACAAGTCTTAAAGAGGCCAAGGTTGAGGACCCCTGAGCTAGAGGGTTTTGCTTCACAATTGGGCCATAAAGGGTCTTACCGTCGGGCTCGTTTAACAACCTCCTCGCTTAGCAACGGCAATTCTCATCTGATTTGTCGTAAGTTGAGGACTACCTGCAGACAGATCACATCCAAGCTTTCGGTCTATGTTCGGCTTTCGATTCTAGTTTGGATCTGTTGGAAAGCCTCAAGTATAGAGGTGGCTGATGGGTACTGGTGCTCTTCTAGGTTTATTGAAATGTTCAGTTCTATGTTTCAGCCATTAGGGGGCGCTGGTTTTTTTTTCTTCTTCTTTGTTCCCCCTCTTTCTATTCTGAAACCCATTTTGATGTGTTGGAGTTATATCTCCATAGCTCAGTCTTTCTTTTTGAGGGGAGGGGAGAGAGCGAAATTCAACTGGCGAACCAGTGACTAGCTCCAAGCCAGGATGCTCAGAAGGGCACACCCCAGTACACGATGCACATTCATGCCTAGACCAGCCCCTGTCTGATAGGTCTGTTTTCTGTAGTTTTCTAACTTTGTTGAAATCATGAAATGCCTCTGAAACTGGGATTCTTAACTTTTGGTGTGCCAAGCACCCCCTTTGAGAAGTGGTGAAACCTACAGACCTCAATTAAGCTGAAATACAGATATTAAAATGGGTTTTTAAAAATAAAAATAAAAGGAGGCGTAACATAGTGAGATCCGCGAAAGAAAAGCTCAAATTTTTGTTTGCTATTCAAGCTTGCATTAGAAGATCCACCCTGAAGTATCTCAAGAGAAGAATGGCCAGGCACATAACTGAGTGTTTCTTTAGATGCCTTTGTGTGCAGCTCCTATTCAGATGCATCGCGCTTTAGTCTATTGTGATGTCTGTTGTCTTCCTTTTCTGCTGTGCAGAGTGTGCAGGACGGTATTAAAAAGTCAACTGTTCTTCCCAACCCAAAAAGTAATAATAATATCTCCAGCTAGGAATGAATCTTCTCTCTTTTGACAGAAAAGGCTCAGCTGCCATGCCTTGGCAATGCCCTCTGCTCTCATCCTCCTTTGTTTTGGGGGAAAGAATGAGAAATCTATCAACCACCTAATGCTGTCGAGTCTTTGTGCCTCGCTAATGGTTTTCTCCCTCCGGACTCTCTGAGCTGAGCATTTAATAGGGCAGTGGGGAAAGAGGAGACAGAGTGGGCCCATCCACCAAATTATGAGCGTTTAGATCTGCTGGGCTGGGACAGCCACTGGGAGGTAACCTCAGAGACCTCTTTCCTTGATCTATGGCTCCCGTCATGCTAGAACCCAGACGGTCCCCGCTTGGCTTTCATCTGGGTCGTCAGCCCACCTGGCCATGCTAGCAAGGCTGTGGCTTGTCTGCCCACTTGTGCTGGTGGCCCCTTTGCTCTCTGTTTACAAGTAGCCCTTCGACGTAACAACCGTTGATTTAGAATAGAATAGAATAGAATAGAATAGAATAGAATAGAATAGAATAGAATAGAATAGAATAGAATAGAATAGAATAGGGAGTAGAGTAGAGTAGAGTAGAGTAGAGTAAAGAATAGAGTAGGGAATAGAATAGAGTAGAGTAGAAATGTCGTTCTCCTTGGATTGCATTTTTGAAGTCCAGCAAGAATTGAAACAGTGATTTCAGATTATCGAAACGTATCATATTTAAACCTTCTCAAATTGGAAACGTCCCACCCTGATCATTTTGGGGAGGGTTCCAAAATCCAGAGGGCTGTCTCACGTTCAAAGCATGCTCCGCTGAGCTCAGAATATTTGAAAGGTTTCGCTCCCCAAATAGAGTCTTTTAGATTTGAAATATAAATGTTTGGCACTCCCCTAATCTCACAGTGACTCATGGTTGGTAAACACGACATTGATACACAAATAGCTTTATTACCGACTTCTAATACTTGCTGGAATAGATCATTTTCTTGGGCTTCCCAAGCTGGGGCTGTTGTAATTATTCATGACATTGAAGCCTGCAGTTGTCAGGTGTGCGTTACACAAAGGTTGCACAATTACACCGGCTCACTGCCAACCGCTAGATGGCAGTTTTACAATCTGTTAACTTTGCGCTGCTGTGAAATTGTAGCGGGATCACTGCCAAAAGTAATTTGTAAGGCTCTGTTGTGGTTTGACTGTCGAAACTGAATGCTCCTGAATCCAATCTGAAAACTGAATCAACTCGGCTTGGTGTGTGTGCATGTGTGCGTGTGTGTGTGTGTGTGTGTGTGTTCAATCAGTGATACAGTGCAAACAGTTGACTCCATGTGAACAGAGCTGAACTGCACATTTCCTAATAAGTCTTGTAGTCTTAGCTGTTGGATTGCTATCCAGGGTGCTGAAGCTGAATTTTTGTTATATCGGTAGCCACAAAAGACATTTCTCAAAAGTTCTGAAGTTGTGAGTCCCAAACGTAGAATACGAGTAGTTTTTGACTTACCATTATTTGTTTAGTGACCATTGGAAAGGTAGGACTGAAGTGCAACATTTAGTTTTAAGTAGGTCTTTTTAAGACCTGGGGATGGGAAAGCCTTCACAAATGCATTGCCCATCATTTTTTTTAGTTGGGGGGAAAACGTACTTCAGTATGAAAACAGATAGCAATGGGAAGTTCCCATAGAAGAGAATAGCTGTGGGCCTAACCTGATGCTCTCAAGCAGAGTTTTTCAACTTTGGCAACTTTTAAGATGGGTGGACTTCAGTGGCCAGAATTCCCATTTTCCTCAACAGAATATCTGTAGTTGAACTGCAGGATCCTTGGTAGGCGTCTCTGAGCCTGGTTGTTTTCTTGCCGATGTTTCATTACCAAACTAGGTAACATCATCCGTGCGAGAAGGGAGTGGGGTTTTCCCCCTTCTAGCACGGATGATGTTACCTAGTTTGGTAATGAAACTTCTGCAAGAACACAGCCAGCCTGTTCCCAATTGCAGAACAGTTGGGAAGCATTGCCCAGGGATCAATCGGTCTCTAGATTCTTGCAGCCGGAGGGAGACCCCTTCCCATTTGGGGGCATTTTGGCTTCCAGCAGGCATCTGGGTGGACCCCAATAAGGGAGAGGATGCTGAATCTGGTAGAGGCTATTTCACCGATGTTTGGAGACTTCAGTGTCTTCAGAATGATGAATGAATCCAGAGTGCTTTTGAACCTGACACGACACTCTTGCCTGGGTGAGACCGCCAGAATCTGGTGGTGCCCAGCTGCTAAACAGCTCACGTGCCCACAGGCAGGGCACGCAGCTCATTCCTCACACAACTTTCCTCTCCTCTTGTGTTCAGCCCAGGGAAGTGAGAAATTGAAATACAAATTAGCAAACGAGAGCCTACCATTAAGAAATGCAGCGATTTGCCAGAGCTGGGGGCGGGGAGCTGCTTTCTGACAACATAAACAGCCCCCATTAACTCTTCGCAGCTGACTCCTCCTGGTTGTCTTTAACCCCCCCCAAACTCCACAACAGTATTTGTTTCAAGCCAAAACATTTCTCTGCTAATTAAGGAATGTTGGGTGTGAAAATCGGCATTTAAGGACACATGACAGCAGCAGCAGCAAATAAAAACCATTTCCGCGTCAGGAATTTCAGCTTGAAAGAGAAGCAGGATTCAGTTTGGGTTCTTCTTCCCAAGGAGGGTGGAATTGCAAAATTGCAATTGGTGGGGAGGGGAGAAAGGGGAGGGTAGTCTGGGGAGATCAGTCCATAACAGGGCTCTTGGCCCTTTGATGACTTGTGGACTTCAACTCCCAGAATTCCTCAGCCAGGCACACATGCCTGGCTGAGGAATTCTGGGAGTTGAAGTCCACAAGTCATCAAAGGGCCAAGTTTGAAGACCCCGGGTTCATAACAATAGAATACAGGTGATCCTTGACTTACGACCACAATTGAGCCCCCAATTTTCGTTGCTAAGTGAGACTGTGTTAAGACAGTTTTGCTCCCTTTTATGACCTTTCTTGCCGCTGTTGTTAAGCGACTCACTGCAGTGGTTAAGTTAGTAAGCCGGTTGTTAAAGTGAACCTGGTTTTCCCGTTGACGTGTTCCTGGGACACTGAAACCGTCGTAAATACGAGTCAGTTGCCAAGCATCTGACTTTGGATCACGTGACCACGGGGAAGTCACCTGTAACCTTTCTATAGTTGGAAAGGCTTTACAGGTGAGTTTTTCTCCTCCTCCTAGCTCACTTTTAATTCCTTGACCCTTGACTTATGGCCAGAGCTCATTGCTATTATTTCCTTCCTTCCTTCCTTCCTTCCTTCCTTCCTTCCTTCCTTCCTTCCTTCCTTCCTTCCTTCCTTCCTTCCCCCTTTCTCTCCATCCATCCACCCTTTACTCCGTCCTTCCTTCCTCCCTCTCTCCCTCCCTCCTTCCTTCCTTCCTTCCTCCTTTCCTCCCTCCTTCCTTCCTTGCTTCCTCCCCCTCTCTCTCCCCCTCCCTCCCTCCTGCCTTCCTTTCTCCCTCCTTCCTTCTTTCCCTCCCTCCCTCCCTTCCTTCCTCCCTTCTTCCTCAGTTGGAAGGGACTCTAAAGTCAGCAGAAGCAAAGGCTGGGTGGAAGTGAGTTTCTTTGACCCCTTTCTGAAGACGGCTCTCCTGTCCTTCCCCTCTCCCTGCCCTGCAGAGAGCCTTCGGTGCCCTGTGCCACAGTACCCATCTGTATGGCAGGAGACTGGTGCTGGAGTGGGCGGACTCGGAGGAAACGGTGGAGACCCTGAGAAGGAAGACGGCGGCGCATTTTCACGGTACCTGATCTGAATTATCCTTCCATTTTGAATTGTTTTAAGATTTGGAATGTGAAAAGGGTATTGGAGCTAAAGCGATGGAACAATCTTGGGCCTTAAAAAAAAAAATTGCCCTCCGGGGCATCCTCCCCCTCTTTTTTTCTTCTCCTCCTCCTTTTCTTTCTCCTCCTCCTCCTCCTCCCCTTCTTCCTCTGCTTTCTTCTCTTTCTTCTTGTCCTTTTTCTTATCTTCCATCTCTTCCCTCTCCTTTTCTTTCTGCTTCTCCCCTTTTTTCCACTCTTCCTTCTCCTTTTCCTCCTTTTCTTTCTCCTTCTCTTCCTCTTTTTTCTTCTTCTCCTCCTCCTCCTCCTGTCTCTCCCCCCCCCTCTTCCTCCTTTGGAACAATTGCAGAAAGAGCTGCATTTCGCTCTCTGCTCCTTCCTGCAAAATGGGCATGTTTGACTTAGAAGGCACCCCCCCCAGCCAGCCAGCCAGCCAATCTCTCTCTCTTCCCCCCCCCCTTTATGTTGACTAACCAAAGTTTGCCACACCGCGTGGTCTCTCCTTCAGGCAGCCAAGTGCCTTGAGCCCTCCCTGTTCCAAGGAACAGCACGCATGCGGCCACAGAAAAGAAACATCCCCCACCCATGAATATGCCCGGCCACAGAGAAGGCTAATGGGCAGCTGAGAGAGCCTTGTCCGTTTGGGAGAACTGACTGCATGTATCTTTCTTCCCCCCCTCCAACCACCCATTCCCCCTTTGTTTACCCCTCAATCTGCTCCCCACCTTCAAGCATTTTGAGTGTCCCCAGGTCTCAAGCCCAGAGAGCGCTCTTTCAGCAACTTTGCTGTTATTCTTTTGGAAGCAGCGAGGGGAAGGGGAAAAGCAAAGAGAAAAGCCGAAGAGAGGGAAGAGAACAAGGCTCCGGCTGTGTATCATTCAAACCACAGGGTCTTTCAAACAGCACGGCCGCAGTAGAAACAGGCTTTTAGTTTTATTTCGTGGCAGCGGTATCTTTTCTATAAATCTTTGTTTGCCGTTCTTCGCTGACGGAGGGAAATGGGTTTTATATTTGCTTTGCCTCCTGCCCCCTCTCTCTTTTCCCTTTGTTGCTGGTGGGCTGATTCCTGCAGAGGGTCTGGCCTGCCTCCTTCTTACTTCACAAAGCTAGGTTCATCTGGGACCTCCAGAGCCTGTTATTTTGTCATCTGTTGCCTCAAGCCTGGTTCTTCCTAGAGGAGAACCGGTGGTCCTTGACACACAACCACAATGGATCCCAACACTTCTGTGGCTAAGCGAGACATCTGTTAAGCAGGTTTTGCCTCCATTTTACGACTTTCCTTGCCCACAGTGATTAAGGGAGTGTCGCAGTTGTTAAGTTAAGCCAACACAGTGCTAGGCTGCATTAACAGAGGGATGGAATCAAGATCACGTGAAGTGTTAATACCACTTTACAAGGCCTTGGTAAGGCCACACTTGGAATATGGCATCCAGGTTTGGTCACCACGATGGAAAAAAAATGTTGAGACTCTAGAAAGAGTACAGAAAAGAGCAACAAAGACGATTAGGAGACTGGAGGCTAAAACATAGAAGGAACGGCTGCTGGAATTGGGTATGTCTAGTCCAACGAAGAGAAGGACGAGGGGGGACAGGATAGCAGTCTTCCAATATCTCAAGGACCGCCCCAAAGAAGAGGGAGTCAAGCTATTCTCCAAAGCGCCTGAAGGCAGGACAAGAAGCAACGGATGGAAACTGATCAAGGAGAGAAGCAACCCAGAACTAAGGAGAAATTTCCTGTGAAAACAGTGAACGGCTTGCCTCCAGATGTTGTGGGTGCTCCATCACTGGAGGTTTTTAAGAAGAGATTGGACAACCATTTGTCTGGAATGGCACAAGGACTCCCAGCCTAGGACAGAGGTTGGACTACAAGGCTTCCCAGGGTCCTTCCAACTGTTCATCTGCACTCTGTAGAAGAGAAGACGGAAGTGTAATTCTCTTCCTCATTTGAAGAAGGAATAGGACAAGAAAAGGACTGGTGGCAACTGTCTCCGTTTGCTAGAATTTATTATTATTTTATTTTAAATTAGCCCAATTGGCTTATATATATATATCCCGACAGAATCTGGACTATCCCAGTGCTTTCCGGATTATCACCCCACGACCTCCACCGCCCCCCTCCCCTCTACCCCCCCTTACTCAAATGAGTTAATATAAAATGAAGAAGCATTTCAAACCTCAGTCCCACCCCACCCAGGAAGCTGTGTTTTTTTTTTTTTGCTTTTTCCCTTGCAGATTGTCCAAAAATAATAATAGTAATAATAAGGACGCGTTAATTCTGTTCTGAGGCAGAAGGGAGAATACATGATTGTTGTGAATTGGGCCAGCTCCTCATTGAAGTCTTGATTTGTTTGGGGTCCTGTTCAGCCTTTTCCATGGAGACAGGACCCCCCCCCCCAAAAGAAATCCCAATTTGCTTTTGGCCGTTCCGATCGCCTCCAGCTGTATTCCTGAAGGCCCACAAGGGGAAAAGAGGGCCGGGCGCCTGAGTCTTTTTAGAGGCCTCTGATTCAATTGGCCTGTTTGATTTGGCTTTCCAATTCAATTAAGCCCGTTAATGGGAGGCGGAAATTAAATCAAATCTCCTTCAGTGAGGATCTCTCCCAATCCACCTTGTTGCGCAGCCCGGCTGAATGCAGCTCGGCCAAGCCGGGGCTGCAGGATCTCGAGAACATATCAGAATCAACCAAGATCCCCCAAGGTGATCAAGTCCAGGATCAGGGTGTAAGTTACCAGCGCTTTCTCCAAGATCCAGAAAAACCCACCCGCCACGTTTGCTTCTTTAGCGTCGCCAGATAAAACTGGCCTCTGCCTGTACAGGTAATAATAATAATAATAATAATAGTAAAGTTGGAAGGGACCTTGGAGGTCATCTAGTCCAACCCCCTGCTCGGGCAGGAAACCCTACACCATTTCGGACAAATGGCTGTCCAGTCTCTTCTTAAAAACTTCCAGTGTTGGAGCATTTACTGCTTCTTGAGGCAAGCTGTTCCACTGATTAATTGTTCTCACTGTCAGGAAGTTTCTCCTTAGTTCTAGGTTGCTTCTCTCCTTGATTAGTTTCCACCGTTGCTTCTTGTCCTGCCTTCAGGTGCTTTGGAAAATAGCTTAATTCCCTCTTCTTTATGGCAGCCCCTGAGATATTGGAATACTGCTATCATGTCCCCCTTGTCCTTCTCTTCGTTAAACTAGACATACCCAATTCTAGCAACCGTTCCTTATATGTTTAGCCTCCAGTCCCCTAATCATCTTTGTTGCTCTTCTCTGTACTCTTTCTAGAGTCTCAACATCTTTTTTACATCGTGGTGACCAAAACTGGATGCAGTATTCCAAGTGTGGCCTTACCAAGGAATTAAAGAGTGGTATTAATACTTCACGTGATCTTGATTCTATCCCTCTGTTAATGCAGCCTAGCACTGTGTTGGCCTTTTTGGCAGCTGCAGCACACTGCTGGCTCATATTTAAGTGATTGTCTACTAGGACTCCGAGGTCCCTCTCACAGTTACTACCCAGCACTTCTGTGGCCAGGAGAGACATCTGTTAAGGGGGGGTTGTCCCATTGTACGACTTTTCTGGCCACAGCTGTTAATTGAATCGCTACAGTTATTAAATTAAGTGGATCCGGCTTCCCCCATTGACTTTGCTTGCCAGACGGTTGCAAAACACGGGATCACGTGAACCCAGGACACCGCAACCGTCGTAAGTATGAATCAATTGTGTCTGAATTTTGATCCCGTGACCCTGGGCGATGCAAAGGTCGTAAGGGTGCAAAACGGTCCTAAGTCCCTTTTTTCAGTGCCGTTGAAACTTCGAACGGCCGCTAAAACAAACTATCGTAAGTCGAGGGTGAACTGTCTTCCGAAGAGGGGCTATCAGTTTATGGAGAACTGATGGATCTTGGACTGCAACTCCCATGGGCCTCAGATACTTTGTTTGGAGAAAATGGGTGGTGGAGTCCCGCATTCCCTTTACAACACAGGTTTCCCACACGCAAGACCTGACCACACTGAGCTCTGTGGGAAAACGCCTTCTGGTTGTGTTGACCACAATACTCTCGTGTTGTTCATGCTCGAACAGGGGATTAACCAAATAACAGGGCTGGGACCTTGGAGGTCATCTAGTCCAACCCCCTGCACAAAGCAGAGACCCTATACCATCCCAGTCAAGTGCCTGTGCAATCTGTTTTTTTGAAAGCCTCCAGTGATGGAGCACCCCACAACTTCTGGTGGCAAGCCGTTCCACTGGTTAATTGTTCTCCCTGTCAGGAAATTTCTCCTTAGTTCTAAGGTTATCTCCTTGATAAGCTTCCATCCCATCGTTTCTTCTCTGGCCTCCTGGCAAGAAAATAGCTCCAGCCCCTCTTCTTTAGGGCAGCCCCTCAAAGAAGAGGAGGTCAGCCTAAGAGAAGGCTGGACTAGAAGACCTCCAGAGTCCCTTCCAAACTCTGTTCTTCTGTGTTAAACATCTTCTCCAAAGAGCTGTTGCGAGAAACTTCCAAACGGATTCAGGCGGGGCATTTGAGCCAACAGCTTTTGAAGCGCCACCTCTTTGCTTCCTTTCCCACCCACCCACCCCCCTCTTCCTACCCCCACCCCCCACCCCTTTCCCCCACGCTTCTGGGAGGATTGTTTTGGAAATATTTCCAAGCGAGTCAGTAATAATCCTGCATGCACTTCTGCCTCCCGGGAGCCGGGAGGCGTGCGAAGGAGGGACCTGCTCCCAATCCAGCTAAATTACTATTGACTTGTCTTCGGCGTGCTCCGCAAACATTTCACTCAGCCATCAGCAGCAGGGCCGGGGATCTCCTGCCAGGGGTAACGTGAGAGGCCAGCTGCGCTGGGTTGCGTCTTCCTGCTCTTCCCCATCGATCAAAGAATTAAACTGACAGAAGGAAAATTCTCCCACCAGGACGGGGCTGGGGCTGAGGCCGGGCTGGGGGAAGCCAGCTCGGAGGCAGAGAGCCAGCCTTGCAAATAGAACCCGTGGAGGGCGACAGGAAGGGTAACGAGGAGGCCAGCGTCTCTTCGTGGAAGGGATGTCAGTTGGGTTGACCAGGAGAGATGTATGTGAGTTTGTGGAATGGAGGAGGAGGAAGACTGTAGGTCCCTTGATGTTGTCTGAGCTTGGTTATTTTCTTGCAGACATTTCATTACCCAACTAGGGAACATCATCAATGCTAGCAGGGCTTTATGAAATGGAGGAGGAAGACTATGGGCTCCCTGGTGCTCTCTGAGCTCGGTTATTTTCTTGCAGACGTTTCATTACCCAACTAGGGGACATCATCAATGCTAGAAGGGAAAGGAGGAGGAGGAGTCTAAGAGAGTTGGACTAGAAGACCTCCAAGGTCCCTTCCGACTATGTTCTTCCGTTAAAGCCAGATAAAGGAAGCATACTTTCTATGTTTGCATGGCATAGCGAACCCCCAGCAAACCGTCTTACGGCATCATGCTAGGACAGCGGTTCTCAACCTGTGGGTCGCGACCCCATTTGGGGTCGAACGACCATTTCACGGGGGTCGCCAAACAACGCGATCCGCCATTTTTTTTCTCAGCCAGCGCAGGGGGCGGCGCCGCACATGCACGCCGCGCAGGGGGCAGCGCATGGGGGCGGCGCCGTGCAAGGGCGGCGCCGCACATGCGTGCTGCGCAGGGGGCAGCGCCGCACATGCGTGCTGCGCAGGGGGCGGCGCCACACATATGTGCCGCGCAGAGGGTTGCATGGGGGTGCTGCCGCGCATGCGCATGACACATGGGGCGGCGCACAGGGGTGGGGCGGCGCATGGGACGCGCATGGGGCGGCACCGCGCAGGGGGCGGCACCGCACATGCGTGCCACGCAGGGGGCGCCGCCGCACATGCGTGCCGTGCAGGGGTGGCGCCGCACATGCGTGCCGCACAGGGGGCGGCGTCGCACATGCGCGCCACCTGCTTATGACCCGGGTCGCTGGTCTAAAAAGATTGAGAACCACTGTGCTAGGACATGATTTGCCCAGCGGGTGAGTTTGTAAAACACACGAAATGCAACTCGATCTTAGCTTCTGCCAATGTGTTGTATCACACCCACCCTTTATATCTTTGCAACATTCCTCTTTTCTCCCCCCCCCCCAAGTCGATTAGCCTGAGCTGTGCCCCAAGAATCTAATGAAGGAAAAATTGCAACAGCAAGAAGACAGTAACGTTCGGGCTGCTCTCTGTTTTTATTTTTACACTATGCGTTTTATCTGCTTCCTCTACTTTATTCTAAGCCGCCTAGAGTCACGTACGTGAGGTGGGTGGCTATATAAACCGAGTAAATAACGAAAATAAAACAACGAGGTAGTGGAGGCGAAGCTACGACACGTGAGCAAAGCCAAGATCTTCCCCAGAAACCAACATTTTTATATTTCTTGGGTCTTCAAAGATGCCAAGCGCTCCTGTACGATACGAAATGAAACCTCGGGGTGATCAAAGCCTGTCTGCTGCAGTTTCGGACACAGCATGCAATTATAAGAAAAAGATAGGCATACCCACAAAATACTTCCAAAGCTATAAAATGCACACAAATTTTGCATCTGGCTTGGTGAACGCAAGTAGCCCTTGACCTTCCACAGTTTCTTTAGTGACCATTCCAAGTTACAACAGCACTGGGGAGAAAAGTGACTTAATGACATTTACGGCTGTTGCAGCCTCCCCATGATCCAAATTTAGACGCTTGGCAGCTGACTCCTATTTACGACCGTTGCAGGTCATGTGATCCCCTTTGGCAACCGTCTTGACTAGCGAAATCAACGGGGGAAGCTGGATCCCCTTAACAACAGTGCTGCTAACTGAACAACAGCAGTGTTTCACTTAACAGCCCTGACGAGAAAGGTCGTAAAATGGGGCAAGACTGATTTAACACCTGTCTTGCTTAACGAGGTCTTAACAAGGCATTATCGAGGGGTGTTAACGCTTCCCACAATCTTGATTCTATCCCATCTATTAGTTGCCTGAGTCAGTTCTCATAACTCAAGGACTAGTGATAGAGGACTGTACTATATTCCTAAGCGAAATTAGCAATATTTCTGACTCCGAATCCAGCCAGGGCTGGCTGGTGCATTAGGGGAGCTGCACCCAACCCCTGCCTCGTCTTATTTTGCTTAGCAGTACATTATTGGATTCTTGAAGGCTTCACTTCTAGGACCATACGAATGTGTCAGCTTTCCCCCCCCCCCCCTTTCTTATATCCGCAATCCTTCCCTTGCTCTTTCTGGCTCCAGTAATTGCTCAGAAAAAGGAACTAAGCCAGGTTTAAAGAAAGTGCAAAAAGCTACAAGAAAAGCAATCAACGCTTTCTCCTCTTGCTCCCCCCCCCGCCCTCCCCTCCGATGAATCTGTGGAAAATTCTTTTGTTGATCTAAGCTAAAAGTTGCAGAAGGGTTGAGGGGTGGCTGTATCAGCTGGTCAGCCTCAGCAGAGATCCGTAGCAAGGACTTTCTGTGGCCTTTGAGGATGTGAGATGGATCAGATCAGGACCGTTCCAGTCCTGCCTCAAGCCAAAAAGTCGGCTGGCTGACTATGTGCCAATCACCGGGAGACTGGGAGTTCTAGTCCTGTCTTAAGGATGACAGCCAGCTGGCTGACTTTGGGCATCAGTGAGTTCTAGTTCCACCTTAGGCCTGAAAACCAGCTGATGTCTTTGGGCCAATCACTGGGAGACAGTGAGTTCTAGTTCCGCCTTAGGCATGAAAGGCAGCTGGGTGACTTTGGGCCAATCACCGGGAGACTGTGAGTTCTAGTCCTGCCTTAGGCATGAACACCAGTTGGGTGACGTTGGGCCATTCATCAGCAGACTGGAGTTCTAGTCCTGCCTTAAGGATGACAGCCAGCTGGGTGACTTTGGGCACCACCAGGAGACAGTGAGTTCTAGTTCCACCTTAGGCCTGAAAACCAGCTGATAACTTTGGGCCAATCACCAGGAGACTGTGAGTTCTAGTTCCACTTTAGGCATGAAAGCCAGCTGGATGACTTTGGGCCAAACACTGGGAGACTGTGAGTTCTAGTCCCGCCTTAGACATGAAAGCCAACTGGGTGACCTTGGTCCAGTTCCCCCCCCCCTTCTCTCTCTCAGCCCAGCCTACCTCATATAGGAGAGAGAAAATAGCAGGAGGAAAGTCTTTTGGATATGTTCACCCTCTTGGGTAGCTTATAAAAATAATTCATACAAATAAATAAGAGAAACCTAGAGATTATCCTTTGAATATTAAATAAAAAATGCAACAACTCAACCTTCTCCCAACAAGATTCCCTTTCTCTCCAAAGTTCTGACTCTTACCTCACTGATGAAGCTATATGTGGAAATGGGGGGGAGAGATGAAGAGTGTTCCTGGCTCTTCCCACCCCCTCCAGCCCCCTCCCCTTATTTCCCCCCCCCCTTCTGTCTCCCTCGACAATCGTTAAAAACATAGGAGCAGAAGTACCACACCATCTTGGCTTTCTGTCAAGGAATTAATTGAAAAATAAAATCATTGGTGTTGGGGGGGCGGCAGGCTGGATTCCCCCAAATGCAGCACCGTTTGGTTGGGAATGGGAAGGAAAAAAAAGCGAAAAGGTTTTGGGAAGGTGAGGGGGGGGGTGGGAGGAATCCAGCTCTCGTCAGGTTAATTTCCCTTATATTGATGTTTTTTCCTGACATTTACTTGCTGTTTATCTTGGGAAGCAGCTGTAATGCTGGGAGAAAATGCAGCAGCTTGTTCTGCCTGTTTATTTTACACCCTTTTTCCTCGAGTCCTGGAAAAAAAAAAAAGTACATTTATTTGTTTGTCGGAGACGGGCGATTTGATGGGGAAGATTGGGATTTGAACAGCTGTGCTCCACACGGAGAGAGAGAGCTGCTTTCTGAAACGAGGGGAAAACGCAGAGAGGGAAGCGTTTCTTTCCCTCCCTGATATTGGGGGGGGGGGAAATGAGTTCAACAGTCTTCCACAATTCCCTTTAAAATAAAAAATAAAAACTTGGACAATCACGAGAGATCTTTACAGGGCGTCCTTCACCACCATTGAGCCCAAAACTGCCCTTTTAAGTGAGTTTTTGCCCCCATTTTACGACCTTTCTCGCCACAGTTCTTAAGTGAATCACTGCAGTTGTTAAGTGGCTTCCCCCTTGATTTTGCTTGTCGGAAAGTTGCAAAAAGGGGGGGGGGCACGGGACCTCAGGATGCTGCAACCGTCACAAATAGCTGCCGGTGGCCAAGCGTCTGAATTTTGATTCTGTGACTGTGAGGGAAGATGCTGCAAGGGTTATAAGTGTGAAGAACGGTCCAAAGTCATTTTTCCAGTGTCATTATAACTTCGAGCGGTCACTGAATAAAGTGTTGCAAGTTGAGGATTACCTGTATAAAATGTATGGAAAGGATATAGATCGGCTTACGAGATTAATGGCGTGGCAGGAAAATAATAGAATACAGTAGAATAGAATAGAATAGAATAGAATAAGAATAGAATAAGAATAGAATAGAATAGAATAGAATAGAATAGAATAGAATAGAATAGAATAGAATAGAATAGAATAGAATAGAGAAAAGGAATAGAATGGAATAGAATAGAGAAAAGGAATAGAATAGAATAGAGCTGGAAGAGTCCTTAGAGGTCTTCTAGTCCAGCCCCCTGCTCAAGCAGGAAACCCCTAGGGCATGTCTCCAATATAACAGTTTTGGGGTTAATTGAATAAAAGGACAGGAAAAAAAAATGGTTACCCTGCCTTTTCCACTCAAGAGTGTCCCTTCATCTTACCCAGATCCCCCTGTCAAGAAACGGCGGACAGCCATTTTGGAAGAGATGTTGGAGAAGCTAGCAGATGATGAAGAAGACCATGAGGAGAATAACTAGAATCCTCACTTCAAAACTGAAAGGTATGTTAAGTCCTCTGTTTCTAAAGAATCGACTGCAATCTTCACTCAATCCTCACTAACCCAGTTGACCTCCTTACAGATAGCTGTGATAGTACTCTTCTTCTTCTTCTTCTTCTTCTTCTTCTTCCTCCTCCTCCTCCTTCTTCCTCTTCTTCTTCTTTTTCTCTTCCTCCTCCTTCCTCTTCCTCTTCCCCTCCTCCTCCTCCTGCTCTTCTTCTTCTTCTTCTTCTTCTTCTTCTTCTTCTTCTTCTTCTTCTTCTTCTTCTTCTTCTTCTTCTTCTTCTTCTTCTTCTTCTTCTTCTTCTTCTTCCTCTTCTTCTTCTTCTTCTTCTTCCTCTTCTTCTTCTTCTTCTTCTTCTTCTTCTTCTTCTTCTTCTTCTTCTTCTTCTTCTTCTTCCTCTTCTTCCTCTTCTTCTTCTTCCTCCTCCACTTCTTCTTCTTCTTCTTCTTCTTCTTCTTCTTCTGCTTCTTCTTCTTCTGCTGCTGCTGCTGCTGCTGCTGCTTCTGCTTCTGCTTCTGCTTTTGCTTCTTTTTCTCTATAACAGTGTTTCTACAATAAGCACAAGGTCCAGTGGTATTCATTTATCCCTCTGGAAGACCATCCTTCCCCGTCGCCTAGGGGTCCATTCTCAGCATGAATGAGGTGGAGAATAAAAGAGGGTAGTTAGCAGTTAATCCTATCTAAAGCAAGTGTTAAATTCCAGCACAGGTGCCTGTAGGGTGAAGACCCCCCCCCCTTCCAACTCCCAGGAAAGTCAGAGATTAAGAGAAAAGCAGAAAGCGGAGGGTTAGAATGACCAAGCCTTCCCTTAAATCCTTCAGGATTTAGGAATAACATGAACCTTTCAGAATCTGTAGGAGGCAAGAGAGAAGAAAAATACAGTCAAATTTTGCAGCCCTCCCACCTTCACATAGTGGATTGAGAAGGGGGGGGGGGTTGAAGCATAAAGATTCATGGCCATAGGATATTTACCGTTGGTGGTGGGATTTTGAAGCGGGGATGATAGCCACCAGATGTCCTTTGGTGGTGGCTCAAATGACACTGCTGAAGGCCACGAAGGTGGATCACTCACTTGGGACCGATACAGGAGAATCTTTGTAGCTCAGGGTTGAAATGAGGGATCCTTGGTGCTGTCTGAGCCTGGTTGCTTTCTTGCAGATGTTTCATTACCCAACTAGGTAACATCATCAGCGCATCCACACCTCTGGAACACCAGGTGGGAGAAGGCTTTGTCTAAGCACAAGGAGATTAGATCAGTTGATCTCAAAAAAAGGAGAAAGAGCAAACTCGTCATGCTTTTGTGTTTCCAACCCAGATCATAGTCTCAACCCCTTGGTGAGACTGAGTTTAAATTTAGATTTCGATTAGGTTTCAGGGAACAACCCATTGAGAGTTACACTTCCCCCTCCCTGATGTCAGTTGCTTAATTAAGTCCAGATAAATAAGAATGCCAGCCTTTATAAACTAAAGCTCTTGAAAACGGCTGTTAAAAATGAGTAGAGCTGTTTTCAAGCACTTTCAATCGTGCGGCTGGATATTGTTGGCAAACTGGACCTAATTCAGCTGGATTCATTATATCCTCATTGTACTTTTTAAAAAATGCGAAGATTCCCCCTTCAGAATAATATAACTAAGCCTTCTCTAGTCTGGTGTCCTTCAAATGAATTTGGGGGGGTGGGGGGGTAGAGAGAAGAGGAAACTAATCACACAGTTTACATCATCTACACAATTACATTCTGATGGATGTGACATCACTGTGGATTCCACTAGATGTCATTGTTCAAACGTGCTGTATTGTATCTCCAGTTAATCAGCTGAACGCGTTTTAGTCTGGTTTCAGACCAGTGTCAAGATGCTGTTAATATAGAACAGATCATGCAAGAGAGAACCGCTGGCTTCAAGGTTTCTACATTTTCTGGTCCTCATACCCAAAAGTCTTCCAAAAAAAGAATATGGCAACTCACCGGAAGGTTTTTGCAATTTTTACCTATAATTAACTTACATGAAAGTTCTCTGGAAATTTTCACATGAAAGACTTTCAATTAGGCCACCTCACCTTCTCTAAATGGGTAAGGTGGATCTGCAACGGTCATAAGTGTGGAAAACGGTCATAAGTCACTTTTTTCAATGTCGTTATAACTTCAAACGGTCACTAAACTGCTGTAAGTTGAGGACTTACAGGTCAGCCTCGACTTAACAACAGTTTAGTGACTGTTTGAAGTTGCAACGGCGCCGAAAAAAGTCACCTGTAAAAGTGTTTCACGCTTAAGACCATTGTAGCATCCCTGTGATCACATGATCAAAATTCAGACACTTGGCTACTAACTCATACTGATGACAGTTGCAGTGTCCCTGGGTCATCTAGTCAACTAAAGTGCAAATCTGAATGAGCGCCAGATAAGAGTCAACAGAATTCAAGAGGAGTTAGAATTGTTCGGTTTGTGGTGACGTAAGGATTCTAAGCTGATGGCAAGTTTAATTCCACCACCACCTCCTCTTCCTCCAGTTTTGCTGGCTCTTCTACATCTAGCAGCAAAACACTTGCAGGAGAATCGCCAAGTTCAAAGGACATCAAGAAGCCAGCCAACAAGAGATTGGGAGGTCTCTGCTACTTGTAGTTGGGTGTCGTCTCCTCCCCACCCCTCCTCCCTCCCCATATTGTTTTTTTTCATGGCAAGCCAAGTCACACACACACACACACACACACACACACACACACACACACACACGAAGACGCTTGTGTGCTCTGCAGCATCCGGGAAAGGATTAGTGCGAGCAGAGGAGGTAGGCTTTGGCAAACACGGCCCAGCTTGGTTTCAACATCTAATTCAATTTGTTCGGCTGGGATTGAAATGTGAAATGCTTGCCAGTCAGATGTTCAGGGTTACCAGGGGTCGAGAAATGGGGAGGGGGTAGCTGGGGTGGGCGGGCAGGGGGAAGAGGAGAAGGGAGCAGAGGCTTTCCTAAAAATCTTAAGAGTTTTATTAAGATTAATTTAACCCTTGGGGTTTTTTTTTATGCCTTCTCTTCCTAGAACTTCCTCTCCCCCCCCCCCCTTAGGGCCGTGGAGACCTTCCACTCATGTAATTGAAAAGAATTTGCTTGGGGCGGGTCTTCCCACGCCTTAGTTTACAGAAATCTCTTTTTTTTTTTTTTTTTTTGTGCTTATCGGAAGATAGTGCAGATAGGAAACCCAAACCACAGAAATACTAACGCTGCTTTTATTGAGATAACTTTCTCCACTCCCATTCTAGTCTCAGGTTTTCTCAATCAGACTCTGGTCTAAGCTGCAGCTCTGTCTCCCACGGTTCTTCTCACAGCCCACGACAGGAGAGATGGAGGGAGATGAAAGAGAGGGAGAGAGAGAGGGAGGGGAGGGAGGGAAGGAGGGAAGGAAGGAGAGTGCAAAAAATAACTAAGCTCCAAGGACCCCATAGTCTTCCTCTTCCCCCTCCTGCTCCTCCCCTTCTCCTCCTTCTGCCCCTCTTCCTCCTGCTCATCTTCCTCCCCCTCCTCCTCCCCCCTTCTCCTTCTGCCCCTCTTCCTCCCTCCCTCCTGCTCCTCCCCACCTCCTCCTCCCCTTCTACTCCTCTTCCTTCTGCCCCTCTTCCTCTCTTCCTCCTGCTCCTCCCCTTCTACTCCTTCCCCTACTCCCCCTCCTGCCCCTCTTCCTCTCCTCCTCCTCCTCCTGCTCCATGTAAGATCGGAGAGGATTTCCACTCTGTCCTCGGCTCCAGCCGGGGTGAAAATAAGGGTTGAAAATAAGTCAGGAAGCTACACAGGTCTCTGCGTCAGCTGAAAGGATTTGTTGCAGAGTTCTCCAGGGCAATTGATTTGACAGACCTTTCCCTCCAGAGGGGAAGGACAAAGGAAGGGAAGAATTTAAATCCAAGATGTGTTAATTGGATTAGCAGCTTCCCGTCCTAGCTGGAGAAAAGATCTTCTCCGTTCCAAACCCAACATTACACGAAGGGATTCCTGGTTTGTTGGCTGCCAACATAGGGGACGCCAGACTGTTTGGGTGCTGCTTTTTGGCACGTCACACCCGTGGGATAAACAGTGTCCTTGGCCAGGCTGACATCCGTTCTCAGCCGCCGGTGTGTTTGTGGTATCAGCATCGAAGTGGTGGTGTTGTCCACGGCCTTCTGTTTTCCTTTAAATATATTCATTTCAGGAGCTGGAGAGAGGATGGGGAGGGGGGGAGAGACCACGAGAAACAGCCTAGCAGAGAGCTGAGATTTCAGACTTATCCATTCATGAATAATAATCAGGCTGAGTAATTCACAGTAAATGGGTATCCAAATTGGCTAATAAGGAAGGCTTTCACCTCAAACTGGAATTGGGCAAGAGACCGAGAATATCAACAGACGCTGGCGACGGTGTGCGTGTGAACGGGATGTGACCTGAATCGGCGAAATATGCAAACCAGCGTCCGTGTGCCAGCAAAATAATAGGCAGCTCTGTTAGCAGACGAACGGAAGAGAGTAGAGCTGGCAGGTTGACAGCATAGCAGCTTTCCGTCGGGGCTTCCCGTTGGCAAAGCCGCCTTGGTTAATTTCTTCAGGCCGAGGGTCCAAGATTGGGGCAACGTCTAGATGTTCTGGTAGAAGAACGGAATGGAATGGAAAATTAGAATAGAATAGAATAGAATAGAATAGAATAGAATAGAATAGAATAGAATAGAATAGAATAGAATTACAGAATGGAATAGAATAGAATAGAATAGAATAGAATAGAATAGAATAGAATAGAATAGAATTACAGAATGGAATAGAATAGAATAGAATAGAATAGAATAGAATAGAATAGAATAGAATAGAATAGAATTACAGAATGGAATGGAATGGAATAGAATAGAATAGAATAGAATAGAATTACAGAATGGAATAGAATAGAATAGAATAGAATTACAGAATGGAATGGAATGGAATAGAATAGAATAGAATAGAATTACAGAATGGAATAGAATAGAATAGAATTACAGAATGGAATAGAATAGAATAGAATAGAATAGAATAGAATAGAATAGAATAGAATAGAATAGAATAGAATAGAATAGAATAGAATAGAATGATGGTGGTGGACCTTGGAGGTCATCGAGTCCAACCCAATAGAATAGAATAGAATAGAGTAGAGTAGAGTAGAGTGGAGTAGAGTAGAATACAATAGAGTAGAGTAGAATACAGTAGAGTAGAGTAGAACAGAACAGAATAGAACAGAACAAGAGCTGGAAGGGATCTTGGAGGTCTTCTAGTCCAACCCCCTGCTTGAGCAGGAGGCCCTATATTATTTCAAACAAATGGTTGTCTGGTCTTTTTTTTGAAAGCCTCCAATCATGGAGCACCCACAGCTTCTGAAGGCCAGCCATTCCATCAGTTGATTGCTCTCGTCATTAGGAAGCTTCTCCTTAGTTCTAGGTTGCTTCTCTCCTTGGGTTAGTTTCCAAGCGGGAGGACCTTGTTGCAAGTCACTTATTTCAGTGCTGTAACTTCAAAATGGCCACTCAATAAATGGTTGCAAGTGGGGGGGGTCAACCCATACATGGAAAATCACGGCCGGAATTCTTAAAACTCAAGATCTGATTGTGCCACTAAAGCAGGAGGTGGGGGTAAGACGGGGCAAAAACAGAGATTTACTTCCTAGCACCAGTTTCTCGGCTCTCCCCCTTCCATAAATGTCTTTACTTTGCTTGTGAATCCTTATGAACTCAGTTCGCAGCTGCATTCTAGGCTTCTCCAACTTGTTCCAACATTGTGCAGATCCCAGCTGGGGGCTTCTGTTCCAAATTCCTGCTTCCGTTTTATTAGCACCTTTTGCCACCAGGGGGCGCAGCCAGCACAACAGACAAGGAACAGCCAAAACAGACAGGAGAAATTCCCAATTCCAGGCAGGTCCTTGAGTTACGACAGTTCATTTAGTGACCGTTCAAAGTTACAGTGGCCCTGAAAAAAGAGACTCGGGATCATTTTTCACACTTACGACCATTGCGGTCGTGTGATTTTTCGCTCTGATGCTTGACCACTGACCCACGTTTATGACGGTCGCAGCGATCACGTGATCTCCCTTTTGCGACCTCCTGGCCAGCAAAGTCCATGGGAAAAGCGGATCCACTTAACGACTGTGATTGTTAATTTTACAACCATAGCAAATGGGCAAGAAAAGTCGCAAAATGGGGCCAGACTCCCTTAGCAAACGTCTCACCGAGCAACCTAAATTTTGAGCTCAATTGTGGTCATAAGATGAGGACTGCCAGTATTTATTGCTAACTTAAGTGATTCGTTTAAAGAGCTTGTGTTTAAAGCAGAATTTTTAAGAGGAAAACCAAAAGCCAAACTTCTGTTTAATATTTATTTTAAGGAGAGACTGGGCACCTAGAGAGGCTACAATTGTTCAGGGAATCCCTGCGGCCGTAAAGTTAGTCACACAGTCGTTAAGTGGATCTGGCTTCCCCAGGGGCTTATCAGGTCACAAAAGGGTATCACGTGATTCCAGGACCCTGCAACCGTCATAGATACACGCCAGTTGTCAAGGCTCTGAACGTGGAGATGCTGCAACGGTCCTCATGAACGGCTGTAAATCGAGGACTATCTGCAGCTCAGGAAATTAGGCAGGAATGAATGCCTTGGACTAGATGAGGGGGAGCGTGGTGGGAGCCGGTTCCTCGGAAAGGCATCAGGTTGGTGAGGAGGCAGAAGCCGCATTTGCATGCAGCCCTACGCAACGACGATGGCTTGCAGCGATAAGAAGCCGGAGGATGGCCAAAGGCCAAAGAGGCTGGATTTGGTGAGAATGCTGAGCAGTTTGTCTGATGGCTGAGCATGATTGACACTTACAAATTACCAGCCCAGAGTGTCAAGTCTTTGACCCCTGAGTAACATCTTCGGCAAGCTTGAGATTTGCCAGCATTTTGTCATCTAATTACTACAAATCCCTTGGAAATTCACTGGCTGCTGAATGCTTAAGGCTGGGTGCAGATTTGGCAGATCGGTCTCTCCTCCTCCTCTTCCTCCTTCTGTTTCGTCCTCCTTCCTCTTTCTCCTATTTCCTCCTTCTATTTCCTCCTTCCTCTTCTTCCTCCTTCCTCTTCTTCCTCCTCTTCCTCCTCCTTCCTCTTTCTCCTCCTATTTCCTCCTCCTCTTCCTCTTCCTTTTTACACTCTTGAGTCCTTCCTGGGATGAACAAATGCTGTAGGATGCTGGCCTGGCTTAAGGAATGTCACCACCATGTCCGTGTGTGAACAGTGATGTCTGTCTGCACCAGAGGATTGGACTATTGGTTTCTCAGTTCTTGCATCAGCAACATCTTGGTGGGATCTCAACATTGTGCTTGTTACTTCGAGACATTTGATGTTAGGACATCCTGGATATTGGTTCCTCCGGAGGGATAAAATACAGATTTGTAACCATCTCTTTCTTTCTTTCTCTCTCTCTCTCTCTCTCTCCCTCCCTCCCTCCCTCCCTCCCTCCCTCTTTTTCCCTCTCTCTTCCTCCCTCCCCTCCCTCCCTACCCTTTTGCTTTCTCCCTCTCTCTCTCCTTCCCTCTCCCTCTCCCTCCCTCCCTCTCTCTTCCTCCTTCATTTCAGAACCAAACGACAGTCAACAGGAAGACAACAAATATTTTAAATTCCGAGTAGATCTCTTAACTCAGAACCCACAAAAAAGATGCTTCAGGACAAATAGCCAGAAAGAAACCACCATCGTGCTTTGAATTTCTCCTTGTCGCCTGCCAACCTAGGAAGCCAGCATTGGATACCACCCCGTAAAGCAAAAACCTCGTAACCATCTAGCAGAAAACAGTTTGAGTATTCCTCCTCTTCCACTCCTTTTTTAATAATGCATCTGGTTTTTTTGGGAGAGAGAAAAAAATGTACATAATTGCTCTTTAAAAATGTTGTGAATAGGCCCATCCTGAAAAATAATAATTCCTTTCCTTTGGATGTCTGGTTTCTCTACATTTTCCCCACTTCACATTCCCGGCTCCTGCAGTTTTATGAAAGTTTATTCAATTTCCTTGAGTGAGGAAAGGAGTAGTAAACTTTCCCCCTTTGACTTGGGAGAAGGGAAGCAAATAGAATATAGGATAACAGAGTCAGGAGGGACCTTAGAGGTCTTCTAGTCCAACCCCCTGCTCGGGCAGGAGATCCTATACCATGGGATGAAGAGGGAAAGCAAGACTGGACAATCAGAGCCCTGGGCATGTTAGACTCTTGAAACGTTTGTACCCAAGCTCAAAATATACAACTTGGAAGAACCAAAAGACTGTTACAGGCAGTTTGGGATATTTAATTTCTGGACAATTCATACTTACAAATGGGCTTCCTAGAGTATTAAAAATGGTGGATGGTGTCCTTCCTTGAGCTGACAACCTCCGAAGCTGTACAATCTTTCTATGAGCTTTTGTGGGTAGAGTCGTCACTGGAGGTTTTTAAGAAGAGACTGGACAACCATTTGTCTGAAATGGTGTAGGGTTTCCTGCCTGAGCAGCAGTTGGGACAAGACCTCCAAGGTCTTGCCTAAACAACAACACTTTTTTTTTAACCAGGGGGACATCTGTAACTTTTAACTCCTGGATCAATGTGAGCCTTTGTTTTTATTTATTTTTCCTCCCAAACAACATATTTCGACGAAGAACTGAGCCTGGGCAGTAGGTCAAAACATTTCAATGTGGACACATTATTTTCAACGCTGGGGTTGGGTAGATGTGGAAAGTTCCCTCTGGACCAAAAAAACCAAAACCAAAACAGAGAGGAATTAATGTCACTTTTCTGATGGCCACTGAGAATTATTCTGCACTTCCTGTAGGTAGTGATCCTCCATTCTCGTGAGAGTGTGTGTGTTGGTCCATTGCACGTCCATCTTGAAACCGCAGGGTCTGCCAGTTGCCACAGGGAACCCCAAGAAGAAGGCTGCAGACGAAACCATTCCCAGATAGAGAGAGAGACGGCTTTCTCGGGATTTAATAGCTCTAGTATTGTGTGACATTTGGGTTTTACTCACTGGAGAAAGGAGCACTAATTAGTTCTTGGTGTCACTGCCGTAAAAGCAAAACTCAATGTTTTATGGAGTGCTAAAGACATCTGTGGCAGAGTTCTTCGTGAAGTCCAACTTGGAAACCTTGAAATTCAACCTCGCTCCCCCAATTCTTCTACAAGAGCTTCTGGAGGAGGAGGAGGAGGAGGAGGAGAGGCATCCCTGTGGTCACGTGATCAAGATTAGGATTGGACTAGAAGACCTCCAAAGTCCCTTCCAGCTCTATTCTGAAATCTATATAAAGCACGAGTCCTTTTTCGAGAAGGAACCGACTGCAAGATTGGTGCTCCCTAGGCAATGATGCCAGCCAGTTCTGCTCCAGTGCTCCGGAATGGCTTTGTCGATCTGCTGGGAGAACACTGCTCCATCAGTGGCCGAAGCAGCCCGTGATGTTTCCTCAGCCATCTCGCTCCTCCTTCGGCTGAGAGGCCCCGGGCTGTGCTTCATCTGCTGACTCCAAGGGCAATTTATAGCCGCCGCCGTCACTGCCCTCGTGCCATCTTCCCCAGCTTTATGGAAAGAGCCTTGGGGCGCATGCTTGCTCCATCACTCACGAGGACCTCCGTGAAGCCACTGCGGCTGCCATGGCAACGGGGCCAGTAGCTGGTCCAGCAGGATGATAAGTAGCCTTTGCAGCAAAGGGGAAGCAGAAATTGCGGGCAAGGTGAAGAGGACTGTGGTGAGAACAGGCCGCTGGGCTTAATACGTGGGGGCTTCGTTTGGGTTGGGCTTTGTCTGGAAATGCAGCCGGCCCCCAGTCACTTGGAGGGTCTTTTTTTCTGGCTTAAAGCACCTAATTTGCAAGCTTGGCCTGCTCAAAAGCAACGCAAGCTTCTTCATGCGACCGGGAAAAGGAGAAGCTTGACTTTGTGTTTGTAGTGGTATGTGAGAAAGACCTTGGGAGACTGGGTGAAGACAGGCTGTCAAGGGAATAAACAGATAAGAGAGCGCTGTAGCCCAAGGCTGAATGGTGGGGAGGGGGACAGAAGGGACCCACCCTAGTTTGTCAGGGTTTGAAGGGTGCATACAGAATAGCAAGAGTTGGAAGGGACCTTGGAGGTCTTCTAGTCCAACCCCCTGCTCGAACAGGAGACCCTATACTATTCTGGAGAAATGGCTGTCCAGTCTCTCTTATCAGAGAAGGAAATGATAGACGAGACAGAGATAGTTGACAGATCAGAGATCAGAGAGAGATGATAGAAAGAGAAAAACGATAGAGGAGAGAGAGACTTGACAGATGATAGATGAGATGAGATAGTTGACAGATGAGGAAGGAAGGAAGGAAGGAAGGAAGGAAGGAAACTCAGAGAGTACCAAGGTTCCCTCATTTCAACCATGAGCTCCAAATATTCTCATAGATGATAGATAGATAGATAGATAGATAGATAGATAGATAGATAGAGAAAACAAGCAAGCTTAGATAGATAGATAGATAGATAGATAGATAGATAGATAGATAGATAGATAGATAGATAGACAGATAGACAGATCATCCCCATCTTCTAGCCAACATCTGAACAAGCCTTGTTCAACCGAACTCGCCTCCTCCTAAGAGAAGAGCCAGCAGGGCCGCAGAGACAGGGAGATTCCACCTGTCCTCTTGACATTAGCCTGTGGTCACCTTGAAGCCCTTCCCTATTAGTAGCAAGGCAGATGGAGGCCGACAGGACCCCACCAGCCTTCCTGCTTGGGCTTTTAACAGGCAGAAGCCAGCGAGTGTCCAATCAATCATATTTAAACAAAAGCCACTCTGGCCCTAGGGCCTTTTAAAAAGCTGCTTATTTAATTAAAAGTCCCATTTCCCATATTTATGGCTCTTGATTCGGTTAAATATTAACTGCCTGGGCCAGGATGGGTTTATCCTTTCTAGGAAGCAGGCTGGGAGGGGGAGATCCATTCGGGGTGCTTGCATTCCATCAGAAACAGGGAGGCGATCCCTTTTTTTTTATGGAAGGAAGTGGGGACATTGTGGTGCTTTCTTTGTAGACCTGCAGGCAGGAATTGGGTCTGTCTAGTTCAGGGGTAGGCAACCTTGGCTCTTTTATGACATAGCTGGCTCAGGAATTCTGGGAGTTGAAGTCCATGAGTCCGAAAAGAGCCAAGGTTGCCTACCCCTGGTCTAGTTTAATGAAAAGGAGGTCAAAACTTACTTCACAAATGTCTCGCTTACTGAGAGAAATTTAGCTGTAAGTCAAGAACTCCCTGTGATGTGAACATGCTTGGATCCTTCCCATTAACTTCTTGTCCTGCCCTCTGGTGCTATCCGGATAGAAATGTGAAAAAAATATAAGGAGGAAGATGTTGAGACTTTGGAAACAGTGCAAAGAACAGCAACTAAGACGATTAAAGACCTGGAGACTAAAACATACAAAGAACGGTTGCGGGATTTGGAAATGGCCAGTCTAGAGAAAAGAAGGACTAGGGTGGACATGATAGCAGTATTCCAGTATTTGAGGGGCTGCCACAAAGAGGAGGGGGTCAACTTATTTTTCAAAGCACCAGAAGGCAAAGCGAGAAGCAACGGATGGAAACTAATCAAGGAGAGAAGCAACTTAGAACTAAGAAGAAATTTCCTAACAGTGAGAGTAATTAATCAGTGGAATGACTTACCTCCAGAAGTTGTGGGTGCTCCAACACTGGATGTTTTTAAAAAGAGACTGGACAGCCATTCGTCAAGAATGGTATAAGGTCTCCTATTGAACGGGGTGGGACTAGGAGACCTCCAAGGTCCCTTCCAACTCTTGTGATCCTGAATTCAATTTTCTTCTTCATGATGCTGTTGACCAAGCTTGTGAAACAAGCTCAAGTAGAAAAGTTGTGGGGTGTTCCATCACTGGAAATGGTCAAGAACAGATTGGACAGCCATTGGTCCAAAATGGTCTAAGGTCTCCTGCTCAGTCATGGGGTTGGACTAGGAGACCTCCAATGTCCCTTCCAGCTCTCTTCTATAGTCTGTAAAAAATCTTGCTGAATCTAACACACTCAACATTCTGTGTCATCAGATGAATTCAGGAACATCTTGAATACTGGAGCCCTCGGAGCGATACCTAGAGGACTTCCTCAATATCTGGAAATACTGAATTTATCAGACCAAAACACCCTAATTTTTACAGAAACCACCCTACTTGAACAGCCTATATTTTCTCGGATGCTAATTTAATCATTCTTAGCTCCTCGGTTAGGGCTTGAATTTTTAAGTTTCCAGCAGTCTTAGACTGAATCTAACTGCAAGTTATTGACACTTACTTTATTTTTTGCCCTATTTTTAAAAATCTAATTAAATATCTTTAATATTTAATTAAAAATAAATTAAAATATCTTAATTTAAATATCTTTAAACATCTCTGTCCAAGCAGGGCTGCCCAGGTCAAAAAAGTCAAAATGGCAGTCTGGATTGAAGCCCAAAATATCATTTTTTGGGTTGCAGATGCCCCTGTTTGGAGAGAAAATAATTTTGAGTTTCTTGCTTTGTTTTGTGGGGGTTTTTCCCCTAAAAAAACCCAAGAAAAGATATTAATGCCTTCCCTGTTCCCCATAAATAAGGGTTCTTCATAGGAGAACCATGGCTATCCCCTTAGGAATGTGTCTGTATGTATAACCATGCGCGCGAAAGAGACCCCTTGTTTCCATTCTTTATATTCAATTGGTGAAACACAAATCGAATGAATTGAGCTTTAATGAATTCTTTTCAGTCCGTGCTTATCTGTTGCCAACAGTCAAACACTTGAAAGCTTTGTTATCACCTCATTCACTTGTTGGGCCATCAATGACCTTGGCACTTGGGAAGCCGAATGTCAACATTTCTCCAAGTCTATGGCTAAATGTCTATGGAGATGTTCAGTCATCCAGATCATGGTAGTTTCAAAAGAAACTGTTTTTTCCTTGAGGGAGGAGGAGAAGAAAGAAG